TGGTTAATAGTGAGCACCTATCCATTAATAAATAGGTGAGTATTGTCATTTTATCAATACGAGTTCCTTGGAGAGAACACGGGAGAGTTCGTGACTGTATTATATTTCGATATTACAAATAATTAGTGAGAGATGTGCAAGTTAACATGTTAACATTTCTGTCCTATGTAGACTGAGCCATGCCCACTTACTGATCGCTATCTATGAATGGAACGTGTTAATTAGATGGACATAATCCAGCCATAGATGTAGTTTCCTATTATATATATATATATATATATATAGTGGCGTTTAATTGCTCCATAAGAGTATAGAGTTTAATCTTAATCTTAGAATCTAATCATACGTAATTAATTAGTCAGTGTTTGGTTTTTATATTTAAGGCAATTGCTTTTTTTTTTTGAGATAAAAATTCTATATTATTAATAGGAAATGACAAAACTATACAAGTTTTTAATAAAAACAAATTAAATCAAAATTGGTTAGGATTTTATTTTATATATTTTATACGAATTCTCAAACCATACCAATTAAAAATTTAAAAAAAATAGGAGTTAGGGTTTAGGGATTTAGAATTTAGGGTTTAGGATTTAAAGTTCAGGGTTTTAAGGTTTAGGGTTCCTTCCTATCCGAATTCTCAAACCATACCAATTAAAAATAAAAAAAAAAATAGGGTTTAGGGTTTTAGGGTTTAGGGTTTAATATTTAGGGGTTTAGGGATTTAGGGTTTGGGGTTTAGAGTTTTAGGGTTTAGGATTTAGGGTTTAATGGAAACAAATTAAATCAAAATTGGTTATGATTTTCTTTTATATCTTTTATACAAATTCCTTCCTATCCGAATTCTCAAACCATATCTTTTAATTTGTTTTAAATTTTTCCAATTTGGTTTTAATTTGATTTAATTTGTTTCCATTAAAAACTTGTATAGTTTTGTCATTTCCTATTAATAATATAGAATTGCTATCTCAAAAAATAAGCAATTGCCTTAAATATAAAAACCAAACACTGACTAATTAATTACCGTAGGATTAGATTCTAAGGTCAAGATTAAAAGTGAATATGCAACTCTATACTCTCAGGGAGCAATTGAACGCTACTCTGTGTGTGTGTATATGTATATATATGTATATGTATATATGGGTCAAGCGCAGAAAATACCTTTTTACAGTACATATCACATCTTTCGCGTGCAAAAAGTACCCCTAAAGTTATTTAAATCCTAAATTGACTAAATTACTCTTACTAATTATTTAATAAAAAATACAAAAGTAAATAATTTTATAAAATGATCGAAAATGACACTATTCTCGTACAACAAATGCCCCTAAAATTTCAATCTGGTACAAATGCGTCATTCTGACAAATTTAAACCCTAAGTTGATTCAATTACCTTGAACCATTTTATAAAATATATAAAAATAAATAATTTTGTAAAATGATCGAAAATGACACTATTCTCGTACAACAAATGCCCCTAAAGTTTAAATCTTGTGCAAATAGGTTTTTTTAACAGATTTAAACCATAAGTTGACTAAATTAGCCTTACTGGACCATTTTATAAAATATATAAAAATAATTAATTATATATATTTTATAAAATGACCAAAAATAACACTATTGGAGGACACCGATAATGGACAAGTAAAGATAAAAATATAAAAATATAAAAGAAAAGTAAAGATAAAAATAAAAAATAAAAAACAAACTTAAAGTGCAAACGAAAAAAAAAAAAAAAAATCAAACTCCAAAAACCACTTTTGGGAGTTTTTATTTTTTATTTTTTTGCAATTGTTGCTACAAAATAAAATAAAATATAGAAAAAAAAAATAGTAAAAAAGAGTAAACTGAAATCTCAAAAAATTTAAATCCTTATTCTAAAAATTCTCAAAGTTTAAAAACAAATGTTTAAAGATATATATAGAAAAAAAATAAAAAAAAAATAAAAAAATGTAATGTGCACGTAACACCCCTATACTATGATATTGATAACATATATATCCTTTTGGGCATTTTCAAAAGAATAAAAGAAAAAAACGAGTATTACAATATTAATTTATGTTAGAGAATGTGGTATTTTTGCACAATGTGAAAAGATTATATGTATTTTTTTCATATTTTTTCAAATAAAGAGTAAAAGTGTTACGCAAAATATATTTTAAGTGTGTTTTCTATCCTTATCTTATATATATATATATATATATATGTATATATTCATTTATATTACTTACATGCTAGCTAAATACATACGTAATGGCTAGTTCTGTTCCTGCATGCATGGTTTACATGTTCTAGTACTAGACAGTGCTAGGTTTATATGTTCCTAGTACTAGACAGTGCTAGTGAATCTAGACATAATTAATTAGCCCAATATACCATCAAAGATGACTTTAATTAAAATAGAATATATTCAAATCACGATCAACAGCATAATGATGGAGAACCCCACTGAAGGTCAATTAATTACTAATTGAAAAGGTTAATCCTGATGTGCACGTTTCGACAGGTACCGATTTTGATTAATTCTATATGTAGTTAGTACATCCTTAATTAATTACATTGCGAATTACTATATTAGAACCTTACATTAGGCATTTTCATCGAATGACTATTCATTATATTTTCATCCAAGTGGGGATGATGGGATCGGTGAGAAGAGTCTCATGCATGTCATTTTGCCGCAGCACTCATTCTGTTCATCGCCTCTGCTGATGCTTGAACTTATAAAATGATATAGCCTCTCTGTTGGTGTAGATACTCGTGCTTGAACCTAGGGACGGAGCCCCCATGCTGGCTCATTAGAGAATATTTAATTTTTATACCTATAGTTTAATAAATTATACAAAATGCCCACCCTGAATATTCTTTTTTCAAAGCTGCCCCCTTAGTCGTGCTACTGTTATTTTTCATTTTTTATTTTTACATTTTAGGCATATAGTTTATTAAATTATACTAAATTACCTTCTAAAATTAATTTTTTTTTTCAAAAAATCCTTCTAATTCTTTATTTTTCCCCTTCATACTCTTCTTTTTCAATTATTTTTTTTTAATTCTCCTGCAAGAAAATTGCATTTCCTTTCTTCAAACAAAACCCAATCTTTACCTCAATCCATTAATATTTATCTCAACGCATTTTAATCTTTTTTCAACATGTTTAATTTTTTATTCTCAAACATTTTTTTAATCCATAGTTTATAGTAACTTGAGTTTAAAAAAGATATTTTTTTTAAAAAAAAAAGTGAGGTTTCTTTTGCAGCTAGCTAGGAGACTAATGATCCGTTCGGTAAGAAGGAAAAAAAATTGAATTGAAGGGATCGAGAAGAAAGGATAACTGAGACATCCCTAGGGAAGAAATTAAGCGTTTCCCTTTTTTTGTTCGGTTGGATGGAAGAGAATAGAAAAAACTGACAATATAATTAAATCCATCCTTTACTTTATTTATAAGATTTATTAAATATTTATGAAGAGTGATGTAGTAATTTAAAATTTCTATAATAAGTTTACTTGTTTCACTCATCATTCCTATTTTTCTTCCTACCGAACATAGCATAAAGGGAGCTCTCTCAATTAATAATTGAATATAATTCATAATCTCTAAGGGTGCACAAAAGAACTGTGGAACTGAATCAAATCGGATCAAATTGGAGCTTCAGTTCCGATTCTCACGGTTCCAGTTTCAAAATTTAGGAACCATCCATTTACGGTTTGTTTCCGTTCCAGTTCGACTGAAACCACGCTTGTGTGTGTGTGTGTGTGTGTGTGTGTGTACATATATACTTGTTTGTTTAAATAAGTAGGGTTAATTACAACGACACCCCTTGAGGTTTGATGTATTGACAGTCATATACAACTTAACTGTTTTTTGGACAAAGACACCCCCTGTAATAATTGTAATCCAAACAAACCCTTAAAACATTTGAAAAGACAATATTGCCCTTCAATATTAATTCATTTTTATTGTAAAATATCATAACTCATAAAAAGTCAAATTTGCCCTTATATATATATATACTATCTACACTATTGCCCATATATATGTATGGAATAGCATAGAGGAAAAGAGGAGCAACGGCATCCCCACCACTACCACCCACCAATACCACTCATTGCCACCACTACCACCCACCATCACTAGCCATCGCTACCACTACCACCCACCATCACCAGCCATCGCCACCACTACCACCATCACTCGCCATCGCCGCAGATCGATGTCGCGTATTGGTTCCAATCAAACCCTAAGAGCCATTCATCAATACCGACGGTGTTTCTTGCCCCGAAACCCTAATCGTCAGTTTCGCTGTCGTGGGTAAAACAACCTATCTTCGCCATAGATCGACTATTTGCGTATTGGGGAGCACCGTCGTAAAGAAAGAGAGAATGTTGAAACAACTATGGAAGGTGGACTCTAGCTCCGGGAGTGGTTGAGGCTTGTTTGAGATTTCATTCTCTGGCACACAGACCATATTCCTTCTCCAGCAGAACCGCGATGGTGAGTAATTTACTAGCCGACATCCGTAACGAATCGCTGATTAGCACCCCAATCATGGAAGTGGTCTTCTTCATTTGTAGTTTGATTACCGGTGGTGGGTCTTCGGGCTTGTTACCGTCGTTGAACAAGAAGAAGGGTGGGTACGTCTTCGGGGTCATTGAAGAAGAATAATAGGTGGGGTGGGTCACCACCGCAAAAACCCCAAGTTCCACCATCCGGTAAAGATCAAATCAGTCCGAATTGATTCACAAAATTCTACAAACCCTAGGGTTTGAAATCGACGTATTTTGGTGAAGAAGATGCCCCTAAAGTGTTATAGGTTAGAAAAGTAGGTTGATCAATTCAAAGAAGCTCAGAGAAATGGTGGTAACAATGGTCAGATCCCTAAAATGCATAATATATGTATGTGTGTGTATGTATATATTTATATAGGGAAAATTAGGGTTTGTGATTTGTAGAAAGAGAGATAGAATATGGGGTTTGCGGCCATGGTGGTGAACAATAGAGAGAAATGGTGGCTGTTGTGGAGCTTTGCGGTGGTGGTGTGGAGGATGAAATGACAGTAGGTGGTGGGGGCGTAAAGAAATTGAGGTAATGGAGGGTGGGGGTGGTTGGGGTTGTGCAACAGATATTATATAAAGGTGTTTTAGTCTTTTTAAATGTTTAATATTTTATGGTTAAAATGAATTAAATATTAAGGGCACTCTCATCTTTTTAGATCTTCTAAGGGCATGTTTGAACCCTTGGGGTTGTCTTTGTTAACTTTATCAAACCTAAGGAGTGTCATCGTCCAAATAACAACTAAGTTGTATATGATTATCAATACATCAAACTTCAAGAACAGGAGTGTCGTTGTAATTAAGTCAAATAAGTAAGTATACGTAATTTAGTTACTATTATAATATTATCCAGTACTGCGCCCACGTAGTCCATGTTAGTCTAGGTCATTGACTTGAGAGTCATTGTAATTTGTAAACCATATACACATCTCATCTTCTCATACCAAACACTCTCAATTTGAAGCTGCGGCGCCGCCTCTTCTTCTCATCTTCTGTATCCGATTCGTGGTTCCGGCTGTGTTGATAGCCCACATCGTCTCAACCGATAGCCCAAAGCAAACCCCTAAAATTAGAGAGAGAAATGGTTGGCGTTTGCAACTGATATCTCAAGAAACAAGAGTAGCCCCCATTTGTTAAATCCGCTACATCAGTTCCAGCTGCTTTCACCAAAATTGCCTTTTTCACGACAGTGCAAGACCTCGAATCAGCCACATAAAAGGATCTCAGTATCGGATTTCTAGATGCCTCTTCCCCTTCTTCTTCCTCTATCTCTTGATTGAGGTGAGGTGAGGTGAGGTGAGGTGAGGTTTGGTTATGGAGTTTGGTGTTTTGGAAATCTTGTGTCATATATGCACTAATCTCTATAGTTGGCTATTAAGCTATTTGATTCTAAGTTGTGTAATACTTTTGTTCGGAGCACAATAGATTGAAAATTTTATTATATATGCTCTATATAGATTGACAATTTTATTATATGATGGATTGTAAATTTTAACCAAAGAAGTTGGCAGTGGACTTTATTCTACAACTGGTCATAGAGAATAAAGTCCACTGCCAACTTGTTTACTACATATATATTATTGCATTTGGTTTGGGGATGAGAGAAACAGAGGGAGGTGTCCGTGAGTTGCACCCAATTGTCACCCCTATTATACATGGGTACAAGGATTCATTTAAAATAAAAGATCCTAATCCACCGTGAAAGTCTTTTTTATCTAATCAGTAAATTAAAAGATTCATTAAATAACTAATCTGACTTTTTTTTAATCCGTGTCAAAAAAATCTGTATCAATCCTGTTAAAAGCGTACATGCCTCTCGGTTTTATTATTTTTTTTTCAAAAATGGACCCGATCTGTACTTAAGTCTTAACCCACTACAAGCATGTTAAATATGGGTCAGAATCCATATTTTATTCGCCCGTATGCCCAGCCCTAATAAACACACTGGCGTGTAAAAGACAGAGTAACAAAGGGTCAGAGCGCCTCTGCCCTATTATCCCAAGTTCGAATCCACTCCTCCCTTAACCTTTTGTTAAGTTATACCTTTTTCCAAATCTCCCTGCTCAGTGGCACGCGAAAACCAACACACAGTTAAAAGAAAAGGAATTATACACTATTTGAGGTTAGTGGGACCTTCTAAAGGCCAACGTGGCTTTGAATGATTGGTCTATGAGGATGGATCACGGTTGATTGCGATTAGTTGGAAAAGTAATACGAAGAGAAATCAGGATAATGCAAAGGTTAAGTCAGCTATATAAAAATGTGCAAAATAACACCCATATTAAAATAAATAAATTTAAAAAGTGCATATAACTCCCATATGGCCGTATTTTATATCTTTTGAACAATTTGTCTCTTGAATAAATTTGTTGAAAAATATCCGTTAGTGATCTTATTATTATTATTTTTAATTCCAAAAAAAACTATTTTTGTGTAACAAGAATGTCCCTACCAAGGATTTGTTTGGATGTACTTAAAAACCTATTGATGAAAATTTTTCTCTTTAATATTTTTTCCTTCTCTAAAATATTTCTATGTTTCGCGTTTAGCAACCTATTACCCAGAGGACATCCTTTTTATTTTTTATTTTATTTTTATGATACTATATTTCATTTGGTTTGTCATGAGATTTTGTACATCATTTTTAATTTTTTTGAATGTTATTTATTTCAACATATATATATAGATATATAATCTTTATATATATACAAACATAATCTTTCTTGCAAATTTTTTTTTCTAATTTTATAAATTTTCCTTCTATTCCTAGAACTCTCCTTTTATAAAAAAATATAATATATCTCTCTCTAAAATTTCTTTGTGTTGTTGATAAGAATCTCTCTCTAATTTTTTTTTTCTCTCTAAAACAAAGCACTTGGAATCAGCAAACCCCAATAAATTTCATAGTATCAACACATAGCACAATTAGCGTTACTTAACTTATTTAACCCGCTCCAAACAATCAGTAATCCATTAATTCCAATATCTTCAAAACGATTAAGAGAAAAAAATTACAAACTAATTACAAATTTTTGGTATAAAGAGATAGAAATCATAAAAAAAATGATATATGAAAGCAATATTAGGAAGTTTTGATCAATTCTATGAATATTTTCATTTGTGTGGAATTGTTTATTTTTTACTTGCAAATTTTTACATTTATATGTTCTTTCTTCAAATTTTAACTTTATGCATCAATACAACACGTCATTCTTCACTAGTTAATCAATGTTGTCTCAAATTTTTATAAATAGTTGGGTTTATTTATGGCTATGGAATAAAATATAAGACGGGTGGGTGCCTGAATAAAGGAAGAATATATGTGTGTGTGTGTGTGTATATATATATATATAGAGAGAGAGAGAGAGAGAGAGTATTGTTAAGTTGTGGTAGGCGAAGAAGGAAAATGTTATATGAAAATGATATATGAATTTAAAGATAATTTTGACATTTTGGCTTTTGCTTATTTTTTATTTTTGTATTTTTTTGTAAAGATAAAGTAAAGTTAATTTAAGTAATTTTACTGCAAAAATTATGATTTGTATTTATTTGCACAAATTAAAATATGTAAAATAATTACAAATTTTATATATCGTGAGTAATTTTTTGCTATCCATGATCATCATGGGGCTTTTCCTTTTCGTCTTACTCTTAGAATATCAATAATTGGTAAATATAGGATATATATTACTCAATTAAGATTAAAATTCAATTTCATCCATTTCAAACAACTAAAATCCTTTTTAAAATCCAATTCTGATGCGGAGTTAAATTTCCAATTCAAATTTGAATTCACTCTCTCTCTCCTATATAAATAATTGAAACAAGTGCAGAAAGCACACCTAAAGTATACTCCACGTAGAATTTTTATCCTTATTTGAAAAAGTGTGCAAAAAACATCTTTAATCTTTTAACAATGTGCAAAAATACCACCTCTGGCATAAATTAGTGATGTAATACCCATTTTACCATTTTACTTTTTCGAAAATGCCTAAGGGGGGTATATATGTTACTAACTTTGTAATATAGGGGTGTTATGTGCACATTACCTTATATATGTATTTTTTTGAAACTTTTTTCTCTATATATATATCTCTAAATATATATATATTTTTTTAAACTTTGAGAATTTGTAGAACAAAAATTTGAATTTTTTGTGATTCCAATTTACTCTTTTCTACTACTTTTATTTTATATATATATATATTTTTTTGTACCAACACTGTTAAACCAGAAAAAAAATTAAAAATAAAATTCTAATATCAGTGTGCACTGGTTTTTGGAGTTTGGAAAAATTTTGTTTTCTTTAGTTTGCATTTTATTTTTGTTTTTTATTTTTTATTTTTATCTTTACTTTTCTTTTATACTTTAACTTTTATTTTATATTTTTATCTTTACTTGTCCATTGTCGCCGTCCTCCAATTATGTCATTTTCGGTTATTTTATAAAATTGTTTATTTTTATATATTTTGTAAAATAATTCAGTAAGGATAATTTTGTCAATTTAGGGTTTAAATTTGTCAGAGGGACCTATTTGCACCAGATTGAAATTTGAGCCAATTATGTCATTTTCGGTTATTTTATAAAATTATTTATTTTTATATATTTTATAAAATGATTCAGTAATGATAATTTAGTTAACTTAGGGTTTAAATTTGTCAGAGGGACCTATTTGCACCAGATTGAAACTTTAGGGGTGTTTTTTTGCATGAGGGACACTCTCCAATAGTGTCTTTTTTAGTTATTTTACAAAATTATATATTGTTATATATTTTATAAAATGGTTCAGTAAGGGTAATTTAGTCAAGTTAGGGTTTAAATTTGTTAAAGGACCTATTTGCACCAAATTAACTACTTTAAGAGTTTTTTTACACATGAAAGATGTGATATGCACTTTAATTATACTTTATATTTTAGAGATGTTTTCTGCACTTCACCCATAAATAATTACATCTTCATCATGCATTACTTACTTATTGCTGATCAAGATATCGAGTGAATTAAATTGCAGGTAATTAATTGATCATTCTTCGAATCATTTATCCTTTTATTATATAATCTATTAGTCACATGCATATATACACATCTTTTACTAATTTCAGTACTCATCAATCATGTTTGTCCAATATTGAGCAGAGGTATGGATGATGATAATGAAAAAGGCAGGAAGAACCAGACATATAAGAATTGGGAGATGTACGTTAACGCGTTGGAGCATATATTTGGCCATTGCTGTATTTTTGCTGCCTCATTTGGTTGGTGCTGTTGAAGAAGAAGATTTCATATGGTTTGTTGCAGTTATTAAAATGTTGTTGCTCACTTTCTTGGCACTTAAAACATTTGTGTGTTTTTTGAACCTCTGTCTACACTTCACAAACTTTTTGAGCGGTAGTCACAAGGTGGAACCCATATTGGAGTTGAAAGTCTACCAGAAGTATATGTTTGACAAGTTTTACAGAGATCACGGGATGATGACCTCCTTGACAATCTTCGGTGGCCGCAATGGCTTTTTTATTGCTGCTTCAATTGATTTATGTCTCTAAAGATATCAAACAATATTGGGCAAACATTAAAGCAACTTACAAGCATGATTACACTAATTAAGTTCGGCTAAAGAAAAATTTAATTCAATTTTGTGAGCTACTTTGGCTAGAAGCCTAATGATACTCTATTAGAATCTCCCTCCTTCCTTTCATTCGACCACCACAATGCAGGGCCTTAGCCTCCTCTGTAATATTTGAGGTAATGTTTGATTTTTTTGCCATATATATGAAAAATTAATACAATGCCTCTTAAAATTTTTGGTTTCTAAAATTATCTCTTTTAATTTCTTTTATTTATTTATTTTTCAAATTCCTTTAGTTTCATAAAAGAAAAAGTCAAATTTTCTTGACTCTAATTTTTTTCTTTTAAAGTTCTCTCATTTTTTTTTATACTTCTTTTCAATGTGCATATTTGAATAATTTTTTTCTTCTTTTTTTATATATTTTTTATTTGATTGTTATATATATATATATATATATATATATTTGGTACTGTGCCCTTAACTTGAAAATTTGAAATACAAGAAACAATGAGTGCCTCAAAGATTGTTTAAATTGGTCCCGTGTGAGAGGAGGTTTGGACTTTTAAATGTTAGTGGTGATTTTGAATATTTTATATAAAATCAATGGGATTCAAACATATTTTTACATAATAAAATGATGGCTCCGTTTACGTTGGATCCCAAGTTTTATCACATCCTTTTCATAATAAAAGGTACATTTTTCCATTCGAATACAGGAAGGTTTTCTAGACAAGATCCATAATTGTACAAATCGGGTAAAATGGATTTGGGTTGGATCTCTAGAGAAAAGGGTCCATTTCTTGCCCTGTCAATGCAAGAAAAAATAAATAAATTAAGAGAATGTGTGGCGTGTAATTAAATCAACAAATTTAATTAATAAATTCTTAATGAGAAGACTGAAGTATAAAGATTTTTTTTTCTTTTTTTTAAGTTAAAAGTTAACAACTTAAACCACTGCAATTCGGGTTGCATAAGCTCTTAGATTGAATTGCAATTTACAATCTTGTTCCTAATTAAGCAAGTTTGTACCGGCTGCGCTATTAAGCAAGTTTGCATTGGCTGCGGTACTGCACATTTTAGTTTGTCTGTACCTCTGTCTACACCTCATAAAGTTTCTGAGCGGCACTCGCAGAGTCGCAGTCGCAGGGTCGAATCCATATCGGAGTACAAAGTGTCTGAGAACTGAGAAGCATATGCTTGACAATAAGGCTGGCCCTAGCCCAAGGCGACCAAGGCGGTCGCCTAGGGCCTCAGATTTTAAGGGGCCTCAAAATTTTGAGGCCCATGCATGATGGGCCACTAAAAAAAAAAAAAAAAAACTTTAACCAAATGCAGCAAATCTTTTAAAGGGTCTCAAAATTTATAGGCCCATAAATGATGGGCCACAAAAAAATAAAAAAATAAAAAAAATTTTGTTACCCAACAAATCATTTAAGGGCCTCAAAAAAAAAAAAAAAGAAAAAGAAAAAGAAAAATGCCCTTCTCAAGAATTTCAACGGACTCTCAACTCTCAAGCTTACCTGTTACCCTCTCTCTCTCTCTGTGCAAGACTGAAGACCACAAGTCTATAACTGCAAATTTTTTTTTCTTCTCAAAAATCAAAGTTCAAAACAGAAAATTGAAAACATCACTGTCATCACATCATCACCTCTTTTGCCGGCTTGCCCTTTGCCTTCTTTTTCCACAGATCTCTCTCTCTCTCTCTCTCTCTCACCCATCCCATTACTTTTTCTAAATTCTAACACAAACAGTGACACACACACATATATATTATATATATACACACACTGACACACACTAAATATTTATTATTAATTATTTGAATCTTTAATTGCAGGAAAATTCGCTTCCTCCATTCAATCTCTCTCTCTGGATAATCTGCCTCCTTGCCATTCTTGGGTATGTGCTTTCCAATAGTCATATTTAACAATATAAATAAAAATTTTGTACTTTAATTATGTGAATGAGTCTACGACATAAGTTATCTCTCCAAACTAAACATATAAAAATTAAAGGATTTATGCTTTTATTAGGACAAGTGCAGAACTTGTTTACTTCTTATTACAACATAAATTAATGACATTGTAAACAATGAAAAATGATTTTCAAGTCAAGTCAAAAGAAAAGAAAAATCAGAAGACGAATTGCATTATTTATACAATGTTAGCTATAAATTGTTACCACAATTATAACTTTTTTTTATTTTTATTTTTTAAAAATTTATGACAATGTCTCAATAAATTTAATTTAATAAAACTATAAACTAATTTAAGTTATAGAATAATAAAAACTGATTTATAATAATTTGGTCTAATGCTCCAATAAATTCTTTGATAAAATATAAGTATATTCAAAATCTTCTTTTGGAGTGAGATTGTAAATTGTAACTGTGAAGAAGATGAAAAAAAAATAAAAAATAAAAAAAAAATTTATAATGAGAGAGGAGAAAAAATATGCTAGGAATTAAAAAAATAAAATTAATAAGAGTCTTAGACAGATTTCTCCCATACCATCATCATATTCTGATCATTGGATGCTTCTAAAAGTAATATTAGGCGCCCGTTGATAGTGAAATTTGTTATTTTGATTTAATTTGTCATATTCTTCTGTGTGAACTGTGAACTCAATGAATTTGTTGTAAATTTGTAATACAGGAGTTCCAAACTTCCAATCCAGCAACCCTTCACTTGAAGACATATTATTTAGACATCTCACGAGGTATTTTTGTTTTTCTGTAAATCATATCATTTAGACAATTCATGAGCAATCCTTCACTTGAAGACATATCATTGAGCCATTGAGGTAATCTATATTTTCTTTCAGCAAAGCATTTTTTTTTATTTTTTTATTTTTTTTTATTTTTTTATTTTTTAAAGTTTAGTTTTATGTTGATTGTGTTTCCTGTTATTTAGATTTCAAGATTTTTTTACAATTATGTCTAAAAGAAACTTTGAATTTGGGAATAAAAAGAAAAAGAAAAAAAAGAAGAAGAATTGATTCAATCTCAAAAAGGTGTTATTCATAAGTTTCTTAGGAACAATGCACGAATTGAGAGTTTAGTTGATGATTTGGTGAATGAAGAACATAGGAATGAAGAAAATCTTAATGAACATGGAGATTTAATGAATGAAAATAGGAATGAGAATCAAAACGAAGAAAATGTGAATCAACTTGAAAATTTGATAAATGAAAAATATTTGAATGAGAATGATAATCTTCTTTTGAACATTAATGATCCAGGAAATTGGAAAGATATTGATAAAAAAAATGAGAGATTTATTAGTTGAAAGAGGTCCTCCAAGAGATGCTAAACTTAAAAATTTTCCTAAAAATTCAAAAAATAGGCATTTCTCTTCTACATATTACATTCGACATTTGTCAAACGGTGAAAAACATGATAGGAGATGGCTACTCTATTCGAGTTCTTTGGATAGAGTCTATTGCTTTTGTTGTAAGTTGTTTAAATGTGACGAACAAAAAACTCAGTTGGCAAATGAAGGAGTCAATGACTGGAAAAATCTTACTGACAAACTTAAAAGTCACGAGACTAGTCATGAACACATTGTTAACATGGGGCATTGGATTGAATTAGAAATCAGATTACAAAAAAATGCAACAATCAATAAAACTGTGGAAGAAAAAATCAATAAAGATAGAGAACATTAGAGGCAAGTATTATTGAGAATAATTTCCGTTGTGAAAACTTTTGCTAGAAATAGTTTGGCATTCCGTAGGGACAATGAGAAGCGTTATGAAGAAAATAATGGAAACTTTTTAAGCATAATTGAAATGATTGCTGAATTTGATCTAATAATGAAAGAGCACATTCGTTGAATTCAAGATAAACAAATTCATTCCCATTATCTTAGTCACAAAATTCAAAATGAATTTATTCTTCGAATATCGAATGAAATTAAATGTGTAATCATTAAAAGGGTTAAAGAAGCAAAATACTTTTCAGTTATTCTCGATTGTACTTCGGAAGCAAGTCATGAAGAGCAAATGTCACTTATATTAAGATGTGTTAATGTTTTAGCAAGTCCGATAAATGTGGAAGAGTTCTTTTTAGGATTTCTAAAGGTGGATGATACATCAGGGCAAGGGCTTTTTGATGAACTTGTAGATGCTTTGAAAGCTCTTGAACTTGATATTGGTGACGTAAGAGGACAATGGTATGATAATGGTTCTAATATGAAAGGGAAACACAAAGGTGTACAAAAAATATTACTAGATATAAATCCTAAAGTATCCTATACGCTGTGTGGTTGTCAATATCTTAATCTTGCACTTTGTGATATGGCAAACTTTTGTTGTAAAGAATTATCTTTTTTTGGAGTTGTGCAATGCATGTATTCATTGTTTTCATCTTCCACAAAGCGATGGAAAGTTCTCACAGACAATATTAAAGGTTTTATACTTAAGCCATCATCCCAAACACGTTGGGAAGGTCAACTAGAAAGTGTTAAAGTAATAAGATTTCAAACTCCAGATATAAGAAATGCTTTAATTCACTTAGCAAATACCAGTGAAGATCCCAAGACAAAAAGTGATGCTGAGTGCTTAGCTACATATGAAATTGAGAATTTTGAGTTCTTACTTGGCATGGTTATTTGGTTTGATATATTGAATGCTATTAACAAAGTAAGCAAAATCATGTAAACAGAGGACATGCAAATTGATGTTGCTATAGATCTCTTAAAAGGACTCATTTCTTTTTTTAAAACTTATAGAGAAAATGGGTTTAAATCTGCTATGATTGAGGCTAAAGAGATCGCAACTGAAAGGGAAGTTGAACCATTATTCCGTGAAAGACATGTCATTCGTAGAAAGAAACAATTTGACAAGAGTGCTAATGAAGAGATGACACAATCGGCCGAAGAATCGTTTAAAGTTAATTACTTTATATACATAGTTGATCAAGCTCTTTCTTCACTAAAGAGTAGATTTGAACAATTTCAACAATATGATGACTCTTTTGGATTTTTGTTTAATTTGGAGAGGTTGAAGTCTCTAAATAATGATAGTTTAAAGTATTCATGTCATAACCTTGAAAATATTCTAAAACATGACATGGTTTCTGATATTGATGGGACTGAATTATCTTTAGAGCTACAAGTCTTAAGAGAAGCTTTACCAAAAGAAACAAAAAAGGCAATTGAAGTATTGGATTTTATAAAAAGGTTAGGTTATTGTTTTCCAAATTCTTAGATTGCATATAGAGTATTATTGACTATCCCAGTTACAGTTGCATCTGCTGAAAGAAACTTTTCAAAGTTGAAGTTAATCAAATCTTACCTGCGGTCGACGATGACACAAGAGAGATTGAATGGATTGGCTATCTTATCTATTGAAAAAGATGTATTAGAGAAAGTTGATTTGAGCACTTTAATTGATGATTTTGCAGCTCAAAATGCAAGACGGTCACATTTACTTTGATGTAAATTTTACACTTTTATAATTTTTTTTGGCACCTGTGAAACTTATGTATAGAGGGCCTCACATTTAAAGTTTTCCTAGGACCTCTCAAGATTTTTTCAATCTTAGGGCCGGCCCTACTTGACAAGTTTTACAGAAGTAACAGGGTGATGACCACCTTCGCAATGGTCGCCGGGGTAATGGCTTTTTTACTGCTGTTTCAATCGATACATGTCGCTAAAGATGTCAAACAACATTCAAACAACACAACAAATATGGTGGTTGCTGTTTCTACAGGAATGTGCTTCATTTTATGGGGCTTAATCACTACAATACATGCTTTCAAAATGTTTCAGCTTCGTATTACTAATTCTCCTCAATCAATGTCAACACCATCAGTACGTAGCAAGGTGTGTGTGTGTGTGTGTGTGTATATATATATATATATATATATATATATATATATATTCAAAGAAAGCGTTGTTACTGTATGTCTTCCTCTCCCTACCATATTTTAATGTACATGACACAATTTGCTAGAAAAAAGAAAAAGAAATTAAAAGGTCTGCATCTTTTATATAGTGCAGGTCACCTTAATTTGTTTTAAATTGAAGAAGGCCAGCTATATATAGATTGTATCAGATAATTGGGAAACGAGTTTAGACAACATTTGAATGGGATTGAACATACTGATAAGGAAAAACCATGGAGACCTGAAAAACCATGAGAGAAAAACCTCCAACAGTAACACCACCTCGCTGGCCGGCCAACAACCTGAAATCCCAATCACCCAATCACCTAAAATCACCTTTCAATCCCTCTCAACTTAGGCATAACCCAAGTACATCGTCTCTTAATGCACATCCTCCATTATTCCCGAATAAACCCCCGCGTATACCTTCAAAATCAACCTCAAATAACCACCTAAAAACTAACCCAATGAACGAAAAAACAACTCCTCTTGATCATCCTCCAAAACCAGCCCCAAATTACAGCCTTCCTCCCGATCATCCTTCAAAATCAGCTTCAACCTGTCCATCAAAGGCTCTGCATAATCCCCAAGTACTTCCCTCTTTGAATGATTTGAAGCCGAGACCTCCATCCGTTTCTGGGCATACTATTAACAAAGTTCTAAAAGCCCTTCAGCATGATCCCATTCTGAATCACTCAAACGTGAAGGTTGATGATGTGGTCTACCTTCCGGATGGTTTGGATGCAGCCATTATGGATGCTTCAAAATTTGAGCTCTTGAAGGAAATCGATAGACTTAAAATGCTACTCAATAGCAAGGAAGAAGAGTTGCGTGCTGCTCTGCAATTGATCTCACAGCTCTCATCATCGCTGAGTTCGGCCATCAACGCCTTAAGGGACATTCTCACAAAGAGTGCACTCCACGCGCCACCACTGCGTGTTATGGAAGCTGAATTTGACCCAACTGCCACCAATTTGAATTCAAATTCAAACTTTTATGACACATGTCATATCAACCTATGTAAAGCTGAAGCTTCACGTGCACTAACTCAGAATCAGTTGGACCAAATCCTAACCAACCCTAACCAAAATGATGGCAACTCCTTTTCATTCCCAACCCTGCCAGTTGGTCCCTCGTTAAACCCTGACTACACTTATCACCCCATCCAAACATCAACATCTCACCTTCCATAACCTCCAAACCATCCAATGCTTATAGCTATTGTTCCAGCCACTACAGAATGTTGCAGTGTTAAGGATCGAAGTCCTGAAGATGATAGTTGGGCCACCATTGTATGTTCCCTCACCCAAGGCATGGAACCTGGAGTTTTTTTAGCCTTTTAAGCTTAATGATGGTTTAGTGGTTGAATCTCTGGATGAAGTTTGTGACGAAGGGATTAAATTTTGGTCTTTATGCCTCACAGGTACCTTCCAAAGGAGAATGCCATTCAAGCTTGTCTCTAGCACTGCCCACAAGCTATGGGGTTCCAGGGGGTTAGAAAGAGTCCTTGTTAGTAAGAACGGAACTTTTTTCTTCAGATTTTCTTCTCTAAAGCAATGCAGGAGTGTCCTTACAGGTAGACAGTGGACCTTCACAGATAAGCCTATTACTCTTAATCTATGCATGGCATGTTGATCCACCTCATACTCCCAATGAATCTCCCAAATCCTTATCCATTTGGGTTAAACTATTTAACGTACCCTTGCATTATTGGTCCCCCAAGGGATTGAGTTATATGGCAAGTGCTATTGGCAAGCCTCATTTTGCAGATGCCATAACCCAAGATATTAGTAGGGTTGACTATGCCTTGATTTGTGTTGAGATTACCCCAGCATCCCCCCTCCCTTCCTCTTTCCATGTTAGAAACAGAGGACGCAGATTGGTTGAAATCAATGCCCAATATCCTTGGAAGCCTGAAGTCTGTGCAATTTGTGAATCCTTTGGGCATATTTCTGACCAATGTAACAGAAAGGAGAAGAATTGTGTTCCCAAGCTTGGTCTTGATAAATCTTTATCGAATAAGTCATGGCATCTTATCACTAAAAGAAAAGGTTCATCCTTCCAATGTAATCCCATTCAAAATCCATTCTCCAAGCAAACCAACTCCACCCCAGAGAAGGAGGCCTCTACATCTGTTTCCTATGAACAGGCATTAATTCCCACAGCTAGTTTGTCCATGCAAGGTATAATTATGTTGGATCAATCTATTTCCACTCTCAAAGAAGTTTAGGAGCTACCTTTGTCCCCCACCAGTACTGAAATTGAGCATGTTCCTGAGCATACTACACCCCTTCTATCCAACAAATTCAAAGCATTACATCTTGTAATTGACCTCTCCTCCCATAAGATGGTTGTATCTGATGACAGTATTGTCTCATCCCAGCCAGTCCTAATAGCCAATTCATTTGGATCCTTAGAGCTTGCACATAAGCCTGAGGTGCTGACTGCCTCTGAAGATAAAGACTCAGCAACTTATGTTCCAAACAATGACCAGTATGATCCCTTTTATTCCCCCATACTCAACAAAGCCCTTAAACCTAGGAAGCCAAACCATGGTAAGCACTTTAAGACAAGTAAGAATGTTAAAATTTCTAAGCCATGTTTGAACAATGTTGCAACCCTTAAGGGGTTATGTAAGTTAACAAGTTTTTCCCAATGATTTGGGGAGCTTGGAATATTAGAAGATTGAATTCCCCCCTCAAACAAGTGGAAGTTAGAAAGTTAATCAAGGAACAGGGTTTATGCCTAATGACTTTGATGGAAACCGAAGTTAATCATGGTAATGTTGCTGAAATTCATAGAATCATTGCCCCCATTTGGAGTATCCTATGCAATTATCAGTTCTCAGTGCTTGGTAGGGTGTGGATTCTTTAGAATCCCACTCAGCTCACTATTACTTCTCTGTCTATGAATGGTCAAGTGATTAATTGTAATGTGTGGATTCCTTCTTTGAATACAAAATGCTTTGCTTATTTCGTCTATGGTGCTAATACAGCTGGGGATAGGGAATCACTCTGGAAGAGTATTAACCATCTCAATGTCTCAGGAGTGCCATGGATTCTAATAGGGGACTTCAATATCCTAAGGCATGTTAATGAATCCTTTGGGGGAGCCAGTAGATGGACTCAAGGCATGATGGATTTCAATGAATGTGTTCACAGAAATGAATTGGATGACCTAAGATTCTCTGGTATTCAGTTTACATGGTCAAATAACAGCTTTGGTTGTGCCAACATTTCGAGGAAGTTGGACAGGGTTTTGATGAACCAAGCTTGGATGTCAAAATTTCCACAGGCTGCTTATGAATTTCTTCCTCATGGTATTTCTCATCATTCACCTATGGTAGTTAATTTGGGAGACATTGCACCCAAAAGAAATGTACCTTTCAGATTTTTTAAATTCTGGAGTTTGAATGACAAGTTCTTAGACATTGTGTTCCATAGATGGCAAAGGGAGGTTCAAGGCACAAAAATGTTTTGTGTTGTTCAGAAAATGAGATCACTAAAGTATCCACTGAAGCTGTAACGACCCGAACCCAGGGGTCTGAATCGCTAACCTGGTCCTTACCCGAACCCGAGGCCAACTAAGGACACTACAATCCTATCCTATGTTAATACATAATATACGTGTCATCCCAGGGTTTATATAAAAATAATAATAAATAATAAAATGAGATCATAGCTATAAAGTATGTCAAAACGATCTACTAACCCATCGAACTCTATGGAGGAGCGTTGTCCGCCACTTCCCGTCCGTGTCCTGAAAAATGTTAAATATAAGGGATGAGCAAATTACTCAGTAGGAGGTGCCTAAGACACACCTCTGATGACCCCGTGAATCCACATAGAGAATAGATAACATGAAAACGAGATCATATGATACCGAGGATGTAAACCATAACCACAACATCCAATATAAACACAAATGTCATACAAGTCACAAATACACCATGTATGCCAATGAAGTGCAATGCCATACTCATGTCGCTCCCTATTTCCGAAACATTTCCGTTTCAACTTCCAAACCATTAGTGTAATCCAACCTAAGGCACCTCCAAGGCATCACGAGGGAGGGGTTGACTAGTCTTCCCCGACGACATGGCACCTCCATGGCGTCGTCTGGGTAGCTCAACCACACTAGAGTCTCTTTCTAACCCCCTCTAGATCACACTAACACCACGGACCACTAGGCGCTTCCTAAGCATCCGGGTTTTTGCAAACATTTTTCAAAACAATTTCCCCAAAATAGTTTCATTTGCTTTCAAAACATTTTTCCCTTTTTCATGCCCAATGTCATGCGTGAACATCACATACTTTTCCGATGTAATAGCAAAAAAAGATTTTATATTACACAATTCAACATACTTTCACATAGCAATTTCTAGCAAATTACTAAGCACCAAAGGTATGGAATTTAATACATTAGGCATGCTTTTCATACAAATCAATTAATACACATATTCAAAGATTTCATATTACACAATTCAATATACTTTCCCATAGCAATTTATAGCAAATTAATAAGCACCAAAGGCATGGAATTTAACACA